ATCATCACTTAAATCCCACTAGCCGAAATGGAATCCGTCAAGTAAGAGATAAGCCAGAGATCCAGATCATTAGAATACGTCACCGGTCCGAGACGAGATGGGCCTTCTCGCGAAAAAGAGTAGGTTATTCCTATCACTATGAGTAGTAGCGCTAGCGGCGCAGAAGGATCAAGTAGCTAAGCGCTAAAAAGCTATCTAGATAGTTTCCAACTGAGGGATATTGGCTTAGATTGGTCTTAGCTTCGACTCATAGTCTTCGACCACTCTTCTTCTTATCCCCGTAGCTTGCTTCCATTCAGGTAGCTATTACTGAGAAATGGCCGAAAAAAGTAAAATATTATTCCACTTGCTTTCTCGCTTGACTTGAAAACTTGAAAAACGGCAGCTATCAGAAAGAAAATAAACAAGGAGTTTACTACGTAGGCTTTTTTTTAGAGAGAGAGTCTGCGGGGTTTGCTTGCTGGCTCTCAGGGCTTATAGTCGGTTCTGTTCTAATTTTAGGTATTCCCTTTCATTAGCTACGCTCAGGTTTCACCAACTTTGCGTCAGGTTCACTTCAATTAAATCTTGTTAAAGCAAACCAACGGTTGGTTGAACCTTAGGACGGTAGCGAAAGGAACCTTAAAGCTAATCAGATAAATTCAAACTCACTACATACTCCATGGAATTGAGAACCCGACGTAATTGGTTTTCTCCAGCAGCTCTTTTTCCTATATTCTTTCAGATGGCCATACTATGTCTGCCCACTACAGAACAGGCCTGAATCCCGTGAGCAGGTCCGCAGGCTCTTAGTATGGCTTTTTACTTTTCTGATCCGGCATGATAACAACTAGAACTCAACTTCTATTCTTTCAAGAGAAAGAGAAAGGCACCGAGATCCCGCCGTAGTTTGCACTATGCTAATAAGATCGACTTGGGTAGTAAGATTCAATTGTGATATTCATCAATACGAAAGTCAGGGGCCGAGATCAAAAGGTTGTACTAAAGGACTGTAAATCCGAGCTCCTAGGATCCTAGAAGGGGTTTTTGGTTAAAAATTACTAATTACATAACTGACCACCCTACTAGTGCAGTGTCTACTGACTGAGTCGTGAATTAGATTGGATGGGTCGATGGAGAATCAAATTAGTAGTTATGGAAAGGACTTAATAGACTATGTATCAAGACTCGCGATAGGATTTGAGTGCTCAGTCATTCAATATTTTATGGGTTATTTTTTATTATATAAAAAAGGTAGCTTGTTTACTTAGTGCTTGTGCTAAGGGATGACTTGGTTGCTTTTTTTTATGCCCATATTATTGTATCGATAGATCCCGGGATCAATACAAAAAAAACCTATGAATTAGAGTAAAGCAATTGACGATTATTAAAAATTTATTGGAAGAAGAATAGGTGTAGCGAATAAAAGAAAATCGGAGCTAGAAAGAAAAGGTAGGTTGAATCGTAAAAGTACTCTGTTGGGGTAACTATGTTAAGTTAATTGCGTATCGTAAAAAAAATTAAATGTTATGTTATGGGAAATAAATTGCTACTCTATTCGATGGGCCAGGAACAATCTAAAAAAGCCAGACCTGTACGGTCTCTCTTTGAATCCTTACTTAATATGCTTAATATGGTGATACCCCCGATTGTACCAACCTACATATGTCTCTCCTCCATCAATCGGTACTAGTTATTGTAATTTTTATTCCTTGATTTGTCCGATGATAAATGCGAAACGAAAGAAGGATCCTCTTGCTGGGAATTAGATCATAAGCCCCCTACAGAGATTAATTGATCGATTCATCGGATCCTAGGTCGGTGCTGACGGGGCTCGAACCCATAACTTCCGCGTTGACAGGGAGGTGCTCTGACCGATTGAACTATAATCCCAGGAAAAAAAATTAGGTGTACAGCCTAAAAATTCTTAGATTAGATATATATTATCTTTAATTTCTCTTCATTGTTCATATTTTATGTCCTAGGACATATATATTCTAGATACCAATTATGAATCGCCCGCCAAAGTCTTCCTACTTCTCAAATGTTCCAATCAGATCCGAAGATAAATCAATCAAAAGTCAGTGGACCTGAATTGAATCATGACTATATAAGCTATTCTTATATTAAGATTCGATATAGATGAAATCATGGAAGTGAACCTTTGATTTCCTTCGACCATGTATGAATTCGTCGTCCGATTGAATCTTATTGTTCCTGAATGCTTCATAGGAATCCACCGCTATTCCTTTCTTCCACCGATAAAGTTTCATTCCGAGTCACAAGAGCAATTTATCTCTTTTTTTCGTTATTGTAATGAAATGCAAGAGGTCTCAGAAATCGGGTTGTTTCTGATGATGAAAACCCTATATTTAAAGGTCGGTAATGTTAGAAGACGACTGTCAGTATCTGATGGTAAGTAAGATACCTACGGTCGGTATATCTTTGAAAGCTCAGATGGATATAAACGGACTCCTCGAGGGCTACTTAAGGCACTTTAGTGCAAGCAAACAAACCAGAAGGACTGGAGTTGTTGGATGTTACTCAGTGCTGCTATAAATTAATAACCAAAAAGCTCTGCGTTGAACTTCGGCCCCTTCAAGTTGGTGACAGGGCAACAGCCTCTGACGCCCCACACCATTGCGGCAGGAGGAGGCTTGCCCATCAGCCTACTTTGCCAAGACGTGGCAGGAGCGCAGCGACCTAGCCCAAACCTACTAAAACTAAAGGCCTTAATGTCAAATAAAAAAACCGAGGAAAATAACGTCAAGTAGAAACGAATAAGGTCTTACGGCACGATCGCTATCTCTTTTATTTTTCTTTATCTCTACTCTATAGAAAGAGGGGATGATACGTGGCGTGGTATACCTGATCGTTTGGTCAACGAGACGTACGTAAGTCGACATATCTCCATTTATATTCATATTTTTTTCTCTTTCACTTAGCCCGCCTCTCCCCGGACCAACCCGGATCTGCCCTCGAAAGTATCTCTGCATTTTGGGAGCAGAGCATGCAAAATTGAGCAATGAATCTTATAAAAATATCCCCGGGTCTCTAAAAATCTATAAAAATGAAAATCCCGGGTAGAAGCACAAGCAAAAGGAGAGAGGAAAAGTAAAAAAAGGAAGGGGGGAGACTCACCTCAATACTTCCCACTGGACGAGAGGCGCACCTAACCCACCTACCCACTCATCAATCACGGTGTTCAGCTGACTTGCACTGATAGACCCCTATTGTATTGGAATTAGGTGCCCATCTTTTGAATGTTGTCAACTAATCTCTTCAATGTTCGATTCTACTCTATGTTAGAACATTTTTGTGAATGCTATTCTGATCTAAGTGGTCCTATTCTGTGTCCTGTGCTAGGAAGCATTATTCCTCTTTTCATTCCAAATTCAAGAATACGACCGATACGATTGATTGGTCTGTGTGCCTCTCTTATTAATTTTTTATATTCCCCTGTTCCTCGGATACAATTCGATCCTTCTACGGCCAAATCTCAATTTGTGGAAAGCCTTCGATGGCTTCCTTATGAAAACATCAATTTTAATTTGGGTATAGATGGTCTCTCTTTTTTCTTCGTGATATTGACCACATTTCTTATCCCTATTTGTATTTTAGTGGGTTGGTTTGGTATGAGAAGTTATGGGAAATAGTATATTACAGCATCTCTAATTCGTGAATTTCTAATGATCGCCGTGTTCTGCATGCTGGATCCTCTACTATTCTATGTTCTTCCCAAAAGCGTGCTAATCCCTATGTTATGCGGAGCTGAGCATCTTCTATTCGCTGGGATAAAGCTTTTCCTCTGCATGGGCCTTATGCAGTAAACCCCTACGGGCGGTCGTCCGTCGTAAAGTAGTCCCCGCGAAGCTTTCGGGAAGAGGGGTAGTCTTGTGCGTAAGCATAACATTTATGGTCGAACCCTCCCAACCCAACTAAGACGAACCGAACCTAACAGACACATCTTTTTCCTTTTGAGAGGGTACTCCGAGTAGTGGGTACCTCGTAGGACCTCGACCCGCCTACTCGGGTCTTGTATTGATATGCAGGAAGGGGTGCTCCTAGGTGTATGTAGGGGTTGTGTTTTTTCGCGAGAATGGATTCCTCGTCAAGTCAGTTTGGGGTGTGTGGACACACTTGTGCGAATTCGGATAACGACTACAAGGGAAAAATCGAAAGGAAATTGTACCCAACCAGTGATGGACGTAAAATCGTAAGCTACCGAGGGTAGGGATAATCGTCCAGGTCTTATTGTGAAAAAAAAAGTCGCCCCGCCACAGCAGGCGGGTTGGTTCCTCTGTCGTCGCCGGGGAGCTCCCGGTGAGGAGACCTTAGGATAAGTTGCTAAAACAAATGGGAGGGGAGGATCGACCCGTTCAGTAGAATTTCGAAGAAAGACTGTTGGCAGCAGGTGGAGACATTTCTTTGGCCCCCTTAAAAAAAAGGAAATGCGGGTAGGGTTAAGCTTGGTAGAGGGTTCGATAATAGGGTAGGGTCCCGTCTTAAAGATTCAGATAAGAAAAGAGTTCCAAACCTTGCTGCATGCACCTTCGTATAAGTGATGCATACAAGTTCCGGCCAGGAGAATTGGGAAACAAATTGGAACCGCTCACATCATAGTAGTAGTAGCGTAAAGCCGTAAGTCAGGGGGCGGGGCGTCCATAAAAGAAAGTCTATGACTTTCACATCTCTATCTCTAGATATCTAGAGAGAGATCTACTGCGTGAGAAACTGACTGTGCGTTACATGTGCTCTACAGGCCGCACTCTATCTTTCTTCCCTTTTTTATTATTTTGAATACGGGCGTTGCGTTCGGTTCGAAAGGCGTGGTTTTCAGTATGTCTCCGGATAGGCCCCCCCACTAGTCCGGCTAGCAAGTGAGGGGTTCTTTCGGGCGAGAAGGGGTCGGGCCCTACGGGCGGGCATCTCCCGCAACGCAAGCTGCATTGTTCGCCACCACCTGAGAAGCAAAAGATTCGAGAGTCCAGGCTTAATATACATGCATAGATAGTGGTCTAATGACAAGGGCCGATGACGGAAGCTCAAGACGGAGCCATATGATGCGGAAGTCTCACGTACGGTTCCCTGAGAAGGGAGTGGCTACCTACTGGAGCTTCGACCAACCACCACCGGTAAATTCCACTTTGGGGCCACCCCTTACTCTACCATTATTATAGGGGTATGGGGTTCGAGACAAAGAAAGATCAAGGCAGCATATCCGTTTTTCCTTTATACTTTACTTGGATCTATTTTTATGCTATTAGCTATTCTGTTGATTATTTTCCAAACAGGGACCGCCGATTTACAAATATCATTAACCACAGAATTTAGTGAGCGGCGCCAAATATTTCTATGGATTGCTTCTTTCGCCGCTTTCTCCGTCAAAATGCCTATGGTACCAGTTCATATTTGGTTACCCGAATCTCGTGTAGAGGCACCTACGGCAGGATCCGTCATCTTGGCAGGAATTCCTTCAAAATTGGGAGCCCACGGGTTTTTAAGATTTTCAATACCCATGTTTCCCGAAGCAACACTTTGTTCCACTCCTTTAATTTATACTCCAAGCGCGATTGCTATAATATATACTTCCTTGACCACTTCAAGACAGATCAATCTTAAGAAGATCATTGCTTACTCCTCATTAGCCTATATGAATCTGGTGACTATTGGTATGCTTAGTCGGGCGGTGGCCGTTAGGTCACCTATTTTTAGTTATGGACACAAAAGACAAGGCCAAAACATGTGTGTCGGGTGTGCAACCCATCAACCTACTAGCAATGGGGGAGAAAACATAGCATGTCGCAACAAAATCTTGATTCAAGGCGTCAGAAAAACATTGTCGTCTGTTCCAAAAACAAAAGCCCCTTAGCGCCCCAGGACGGGAGTGGGGGACACCCTACGCGCAGGCAACATAGCATTCGTGAATAAGAATTCAAGGGCTAGAAGCGAGCGCTTCTAGCTGCTTCGCCTGCTTCTTCTTATTTATTGTGGCTATGTTGGCGTGGCGGAAATGAACGAAAAGCGAGATGAACGTGCTATTTAAAAATCGATTGATAGATAGCCTGATCCGTTCTGATAGATCGAAAGAGTAGGAATGAGATAGAGGGAATCCATCAATAATAAGGAGAAATCCCCTATTTCTATCTATTGATAAGACAACTATTCTTGATCCATCAGAAATAAATCGATATGCATCTGATGGAGTCTACATCGTACATAGAGCGCCCAAGCGCCAACTCAGTTCTCTTATCCATTGGTCCAATGCACTGTCATGGATGGAGGGAAAAGCAAAAATCTAGTTGTGTTGTTCGCTGCCTCGACACATTCCCTTCTCTCCCTGACATCGTCCCACACAGAAAGAAAGAGCGCAGAGCCCCGACCCGACCTGTAGTGTAGGTCCGCTAACGTAAAGCGAGGAGTTGAGCCTGAACCGGCGAACCGAAGTCACTTTCGGAACCATACTTCCTACAGCTAACACGTGTCCAGCGGGAATGTGCAGTGCAAAAAAACGTAAGCTGCTATATCCAATCCCCCGCAGGCCATCGGGGACCGAGTGGTAAGGCCATGATCCGCGGGGGAACGGATCACTCATTCTTCCATTGGGGACAGGTGCACGAACGACAACTCCAAATGTCACACATCCGTCGCCTACTTACCATTTAGGTGGCACCAGCGAGATCCAGCTAAGGTAAGGAACTTTGTGTCGCAGCTGCTCCACTCTGCTGCGACCTCATGAACTCAACTTCGTAGCCTTCCTGCACGCAAAGTGAATGGGCACTGTTCTATGGGTCAGTTTCGGGGCGGGGGGCGAAGAGAGACCACAAGAATGATTCATTTGGATCGAAGAGCTTTTTCATCCCCAAAACTAAGAATCAATGGAATGTTTGTCTATCCATGAACATCTATTCTGTCTGTATATCTAGGGGATCTCTCTATACATGAGCAAGGTTTTTTGGCACGATATGATCGCCTAGCCGTAGCCGCATATTAAGCGCAGCGGATATGCGGGATTTCAGTTGGATCAGATCTTTAGCTTTGACGGAAGCTTTTGGACCTAGCGAAAAGGACTTAATAAGCCTTCGCGCAAGCAAAGTAGAAGCTTTTCCAGAAGCAAGACGAGGAAGCAGAGTTATCCTATAAGAGGTAGCTTCCCCCGACCTACTAAACAAAAATACAACAGTCGCGACCTACTTTGATTCAAAACAAAAGAAAGGAGAAGGGTTTGGCAACAAGCAAACGACTTTCTATCATAGTTGCAAGGGTTCCCTACTTAAGTTAAGTACCAAAGGCTGCTTTCGGTTGGTAAAGAAGGGGGCTGCTCACTACAAGCTATCAGCGCTGTCTTAGATTGAACGTCGACTTCTCTTATTGCCATTCAATCTCTAAGGCGGTTTTATGTTGAGAACGGAATAGTGTTCGTGTCCAAAGGTAAAGGTGAACAACGAACGCCCTAGCTTCTAGAGTTTGCTGCTTTTCCCAGGCCAGAGAAGAGCTTATACTGCTCGCCTTTGTTTGATATGTTCATTCGGTACCAATACAAACTAAAACTACACCAAAGTGGAAAGGCCCCTATAGAAGCTAGAAGTAACCTCTAGTAGTCTATTAGTCGGCCTAACCAAAGCGTCACGACAACAAAAAATTACCCTTATGAATGGAATCTTAAGTAGGGGGCCCGCCCGCCTACCAATCAAAAAGGCTGAGAGTAAGCGTAAGCTCGAAGAGCTTCCCTTCATTCGCTTCACGGGAGCCGCACAACACATAGCTAGAAGTCAGAGGGGCCATACTACCTGCCTAACCCTTCGCTTCGAGGGACCGTAGATAGGAAAAGATGTTCTAAACCACCCCATTCATATAAAAGAGAGGGGAAGGGGCCTATGTATTTGCATGACTCCTGCAGATTTTACCCTATCTACACCCAGAGCCAATCTCCTATCGGTCCTGCCACCACGCCGCAGAACGGGAGCTCGTGTGGAACCTTTTATTTATGGCGTAACAGCGGTGGAACATAAAAAAAGATTACGGTCGCGTAACATAAGGGCCGGAGGTACGGTAAACTCGGCCAAAATTTGACACTTGAAGGGAGGGCCCGGCGCGCGCAATCCTATCCTCGTCCGAGTTTACCCCTTGCACTTCAGAAAGCCGTCCGTAGCATCATAAGGAGGACCTCCCTTTTAGGGGTAAAAAAAATGGTACGGTACATAGGAGGCTGGTCTTTCTCAATGTGGTGTATAGCACGAAAAACCTTTCGATACAAGATAGGGCCATTCACATGAAAGAAGATAAAAAAACCCTTTCTTCTCTTTCTCGAGGGGGAAAGAGAAAGAGGGTCTTATGGAGGGAGGGGGAAGGCTTGGGATGGGCCTACCTATCCCGATAGGACCTCATAAAGGAACGAGGGCTGTTTAGAGGTTCCATATTGCCGAGCCGAAGGGCAGCACTTCTGTACGTGATCGTAGTATGTCATCTCGTCCCCGCTGCATTTAAAAGTATCTATGCACTATTTCTGGTTCACTGATAAGGAAGATAGAGTTGGGGTGGGGGTCTACGATGTGATACTCAAGTATGACCCGGGGAGATACATGCTAACTATGGGTAGAAAGCAGGAACCCTTATGTAAAAAAAATCGGGGGGTTACAGATCAGATCTCTTATACTACCATCGATCAACAGAGCGGAACGGCCATAAAAAAAGTTAAGTTAGAAAGCCGTATGATAGGCGGTAACTATCTTGTACGGTTCGGGGGGTAATCAGCGTACTCCGATCAGTGGGGGGGGGGGGAATCTTTGGCTCTATCGAACATACAGGGAATTGGAGGTAGCATTCCACCGATGTTAAGTCATGGACTGGTTCCTTCAGCCCTTTTTCTATGTGTTGGTGTTCTATATGACCGATATAAGACTCGACTTGTTAGATATTACAGAGGGTTAGTGAGCACCATGCCAAATCTCTCTACCATTTCCTTCTCTTCCAATTTGGCCAATATGAGTTCACCAGGTACTAGCAGCTTTATCGGGGAATTTCCCATCTCAGTAGGAGCTTTCCAAAGAAATAGCTTAGTAGCCACATTATCAGCGCTTGGGATGATTTTAGGCGCGTCATATTCCATTTGGCTATATAATCGTGTGGTTTCTGGAAATTTAAAAGCCGATTTCCTCCATAAATTCTCCGATCCAAATGGCAGAGAAGTTTCCATATTTATACCTTTTCTTGTTAGAGGGGCGACCGTCCGTTGAACTACCAAAGAAAAAAGGGTAAGCCAATGTGATCATGACATTGTAGGTGCTTGCGATGGGGCGGATGCGACTTCCCTCAGTTGGTTTGGGTGGTATAGCCCGTTGCAGAAGAGAAGGGAAACCCTGACCGAAGGTAGCACATAAGACGATGTGTAAAGCGTATAGCCAGCCGATGTAATCGAATCCTTCTGTTCCTAAGGGAAGGGGCTTACTCATATATATAATATATAATATATAATATAAAAAATAAAGTTTGCACTTAATCTATTAAGGCCAATCTTCTGATCTTCAACTATTCTCACCCCTCGGAGTCTAAAAAAAATATGTGTATCTTGCTATTGGTATCAATCGGTCCTCTCTTTCCTTTTGGTGGCGCATGCTTAGATTACCCTTATTCTTCATCTTCTCTACCCTTCGGTTGCTTAGGGCGCCCAGAGGGATTTGCCTCTAGGAGAATAGTTATTGATCACATAGCTTGGGTACTAGAAGTTGCTGATCGTATCATTCGGGAAGAGCCTGGGTCCCTTAGTATTATGTATAGCGGAACTCCCTCTTTCTTTTGCTAGTTTTGTTCCGATTGATGAAGGAAACCCTTTTCTTACTGGAGCGCGCAGATTCGTTTTCATATTTAAATGGGATCGGTGCTAAGGCGCGTGCTTCAATATTGTCTTGATTGGCAGTCGCTCTTCTGTATTTTAAATCTTCAGAGATACCCTCAGAGTTATGTCCTGAATGGGATGGTTTTTGAGTCAAGTCAAGAAGAAGAAAAAGACAGTCCCACAAAGGAATCTTGGACAATGGGCACAAGTCTTTATTAAAGAATTAGTATCTCCATTATAATAAGCATTTCTATCAGCTCTGCTCTTTTGTCTCCTGAATATCATCTCAAGACCCAAACTACGAGATCCGGATTGGAACCAACGCATATTGATTCAAAGCTTATGGCCCTTCAATACAACCCCCCTCTGTATAAAACCTTAAGTGAGCGGTGCGAGTCTACAATCGCTTGGCTGACTCGCTAGCCCTTATGGAATAAATACTCAGCCGCTCTAGTACACATGCTAGTACACCGAAGCACATAGTTGCTTGTCATCGAGAGATTGGACATCCCAGCCACAACATAGAGAGCCCTTCCGTCGAACGTGACGCATTCATCTTCTTGGATGAAGACTATCGAGAGTTGGAACATGATGAACTATCACCAGTCAAGATTACGAGGATGATGGGAACCTTGGTATTATGATTTCTACAATTACCTCAAGGACGGGTTCATATCAGAGTACATCACTCGTGGTCAGAGGAGAGCCTGGAGGAGAACTTGCGCGACGATTTTTGATCTTGGGAGATGTCCTTTACAAAAGGTCCTTCAAGGGGTACTCGCCCTTCCTTAGACTTAATAGGAAGAAGGAGCGCACATTGTTGAACAAGCTCATTCAAGAGGCAAGGCCCCCCTAAAAAAAGCGTACCTTCGAAGGCATGATTGCTGCGATCAGGAGCCGTTTAACATAATTTAGAACAGGAGATCAGAAGATTTTGTGGAGGATAAAGTCCAAAGTGAACCAACACTGGGATCTAATCATAGCCGCTGTGAGGATGCAAAGGCGATAGTTTTTCGATTCGGCAAACATGAGATGTGTCCCACACTTTAATAAGTACATCGAATTTTTTAGATATCCCGTAATGTCCTTTTTGTACCTAGAGAAGGACGACCTCGAGAGAGCAGACGACCGGTAGAGTAGGTGCTCCATATTGTTCCTGCTGCATAGGTCTAAGGTGATTAACAGTGCTAGCAGAGAATCAGTAGGCCCTCACCCTTCTCTAATAGGGGCAGTGCCACCTATAGAACGAGAATGTTCATCCTCTGTTAAAGTCCTTTAGGGATTTAGAGTCGGGAATAGAGCTGTGGCAAGCAATATAGACCGGCCCTTACGCTCTCTCTAAAAAAATCCCTTCTTAGTAAAGCTTCGGCCCTATGGAGAAAAGGGAAGTGCAGATCTGGAGTGTTTGGACGAGAAATAAAGGCTTTGCAGCAAGCTGAGTTGTACCGCAATTTGATTTTCCGGGCATACGAGAAAAGAGTCCAGCCGAGCATATTTGTTTGCTAGTTTCTTGATCCCGAAAATCTTGTACTCAGAGTCACGGATAAAGTTGACTACCCAGCAACGGAGTGGATGACCCCCCGTTCTTTCTAGTAGGTTTTATCTTGTCCCTTTTGGAACCATTCACCCTTTTCCAAGCATAGGTAGAACCCCTCTTTCCCATACACAACGATGGTTCCAAGAAATATGAGTAGTTTATAGTCGACTCAATATCAACGACCCCCCCCCCCCCCCCCCATTTTATCTTTTTAGTACCGATG